CCCGGCACCGCGTACGCCGAATGGCTGCGTTCAGCCAATGGCAGGCCGGGCGGGCGGGGCGGCGCCCGGAGCTGTCCGCGGGCGGGGGCCGCGGCACACCGCGTTCCCGGCTGCAGGGCGAGCTGCTGCCTGCGGGGCTGTACCCGTCTGCCCAGCGCTTACCCCTCCGGTCTTCCAGGCGCCTCAGCACAGCGAGGAGCTGCCGTGGACTGGGTCCGCCTGGCCACCTCTCCCCTGTCACAGTCAGGGTTGCCGACCCCCAGGGTTGCAGTGGAGGCGCCAGGCCTCTCTCCAGGAGATGCTGAGTCTCACCCGGCCGGGAGAGAAATGACAGGGCATCCATTAATTAAAATATTAAATGTTGAATCCGATTTATACAGTAGTCCAGTGGGATTTCATTTTCAAAATGTAATAATCATGTGCATCTGCCTTCCTGACAAAGTTTGCATCGTAATCTGTACCTGCTGTACACAAGCGTGTAGGCACGCTTGTGCCATGGGCACGTCGGTTCCAGAAACCTCCCAAAGACTGGAGCAGAGCTGGCAACCCGAGTCCCAGGGGTGGAAAGCTGAAAGGGAGCAGGGACTGAGTCTGCCCAGGGTTTTTTTTTCCCCACTGTTCCTCTAAGGTCTAGGATGCTGTGATTCAGAGGCTGTGCCCGTCACACCTATGCTCCTTACCTCCATGCATGTGACCAATTCCTATTTTGAATCTGGCTAAATTGGCAGCATCCACCCTATCAAGTGGCAAGGACTTCCACACTTTACATTGTAATTTAATTTAAAATAATTTAATTAATAGTTTCAGTTCAAAGGCCTTGTGGCATAAGGCATGAAACTGCCAGCCAGGCAGGGTGGAGGGTTTTCACCTACCAACAGCTAGTTGGAAGAGGTTGGAAAGCAGTTGCATGTCAGCAGTTCATTAGGTTGCATGCAGCAGGCTCAGGTCCTAGTGTTTAGATGTACAGGTCCACTGTGGAAAACAAACGGTCAACCAAGAGATCAAGGCTTGAAGAAGTATCACGGTGAACTGTCTTATCCAAGGAAAATTGTTTTTTTGTCTTTTGAAACACAAATTCTTCACTTGGATACACGCGAAGCGGGGGAGGGAACTCTGGGAATGCATCAACTTTGTGTTAAGATGTGAGGACAACTGTGTTAGGAGGAACTAAGACTGCAAGCCTTAGGGAACAGAGCAGAAAACAAGTGACTTTAGTTCTATCTCCTCTTCTCGCTTTTTATGTACAAAGCCAGAGATGTTTCTGTAGTCCTTAACAGAACACATACCAAAGGCAAGTTCTCACACATAGGCTCCTAAACTCCATGCTACTAAAATGAGACTCAATTTTTTTCAAAGACTCAACCTGCATATGATCACACTGCCATTATATGTGCTTGTTGGGTCCTAAAATGAGGTACATGCTGTTCCATTAAAAATAGTGGTTGAGTAGTGTGCAAGTTCTTTTGTCCTTTGAATTTTCTGTCTAGGGGCTGCTTGGTGTCTTCATATACTTAAACAGAAAGCATTTACATTTTGTGCTTGATAAAGCTTTCTTTACAAATCTACTTTTCATTATTTATCAGTATCTTTAAAATGCTGTCTGTCTACACAGAATTTGGTGGATAGGGATGAGTTGGATTTAAGGTAATTCTGGGACATTAATAATGTTCTTACTGAGTTACACACTGTATGCACAAACATGAATGATTGATGGTGCTGGGTATGCACAGACTCTCTCTAGAGCTACAGTCAGATTTTCTGCTACAATAAAGTTTCATGTAAAACTAAGATAAAATATTATGTAACAGCAGATACATTTTTCTGCACCCACGGATTGTGCTACTCCTACAATTAAGCATTAAAACTCTTAAGTAGTTAATACACAGAAAGCTTGCATATAAAAACCAAGATTAACAAAGAAGCTAAGAGTATGAAGGAGGAGCAGACTCACAATCAGAAGCATTGTATTTCCTCTCTGCAGTACCTACCTCAGTGGTTCTCAACCTTTCTAGACTCAAAGCATTCCTTGTTAGACCCAAGGCACCCCTCAGCAGGTTCAAGACCCCCCTCAGAAAATGCCAGCTCTTAACATTCACACATTTGACTATGGGAAAACACAGCAATTTTTCTATTGCAAAGAACACAGAAATACCACAACAGGCGAGATTTTTTTTTTTTTTACACTTTGGATTCTTTTTTTAAATAATTGGGCTCATCTTGTGAATCATATTTGCACACCTAGCAGTGCTAACAGTGTGTGGCACCCCAAGGCACCCTAGATGAAAATCGCTGTTCTAACTGGTGCTTGTAAAACAGACTTCAGGAAAAAAAGTGCACGAAGGAAAAAGTTTTGTACTGTAATGTAAAGACAACAGGTTTATTGAGAAACCCAACCCATTCCATGCAGAATTTATACATAAGAAGTACTGTGGGAATTATGTGTTTTTTATCACAAGCAAAGGTTGCCTTTGAACTTTTTATTTGGGATTTAAAAAAATCTTCCTGTGAACTGTTTTGGCAAAGATATTCAACAAAGCTATACAAATGCAATTTCCTACTACAACTTTCATTAAGAAAAAAAAGACAATTAGTGGCACAACAGAGCATCAGACTCTCCTACTATGATCCCCCTACCCATTTGGGGAACCTCTACTTCAGACAGGTTGTACTATTTTACTGTATTCAAAAATGAGCGAAAGCTAAGGGCTGGCATTTTCTGAGGAGGTGCCTTAAACCTAATGAGTGGTGCTTTGATGAGGGCTTAATGAGGAATGCTTTGAGGCTAAAGAGATTGAGAACCACTGAGCTGCCTTGCCCTCCAGGCCTCCCGGGAGCAAAGTTCTGGGTCACAGCAGCTTCAATATCATTGGTTTATCTATATTAAAATTCCCATTGTTACTGCAATCAATGGGAATTTTTAAGGAGAAAGCTATTCACCAGTGACAGTCTTTGAGCATAAGGCTTGGATTCTGCAAGGACACATGCGCATACTTAACTTTATGCATTGTGAGCAGTTCCATTCAAGTCAAGCTGGGACTACTCAAGAGTATAAAAAGAGGTGCACATGCAGTTCTTTGAAGAATTAGAACTAACATTTTATAATGTACTGAGTGCGTAGGAGAGGGAAATACAGAACTTCATTTTAATTTCAGTGTCTTGAATATGAATATTAAATGCTTGAGACAACATTTAGACTAGAAAGAGGAAAACAAGCATAATTTAGTTAATTGCAGCATAGAGCTTTACCAGCATGTCAGTGCTCCCAACTAAGTAGTGCTGAAGGGAATAGTACATCGATAATACATCAAACACCTACATGTGAGGGAAAAAAAAAAAAAAAAAACATAAGCTAAAACAGGCTCCTAAAAGCTTCCAGGTAAAACCAACTTATAAGAAATCAGGCAAACTTTAATCTGACTGTGATCATGAATTTGGGAAATGATCAGTCAGTGACTGTGAGAAATGATTGGTAGATTTAATGAAGACAAAATGAGCAAGCTCCATCTTAAATAAACGTTAAGATTAAAATTAAAAACAAACAAAAAGGCCTTTACAAAGCTATAGTTGGGTCAGTGTTGTAATAAAGCTACTTTTGTTTTTTATTTCTTTTATAGCTGTTTAATTGTCCCCATTCCCCTACATAACCATTTTGTATCCACTCCCTGCTTCCAGGCCTAGCATATATTCCTACATTCCTTAACATATTCACAACTACCTTTAAACATCGATACATGCTGCTTGGATATTTTGAAAATGGATATTACATTACACATTAAGATCTTATCTTGCAAATGTGATGTAGAACTTTATGCAGGTTACCATTGACTGGAATAAAATTTTACATGGGCATAGGAATCACCATGATCAAGGTCTAACACTCACTTCTACACTGATGTCTACGGAACTGCCAGGTAGAAGTAAGTAGAGGCTATAGGGCAAGTACGGATAATTGTGTACGCTTGCATTACTGTTGCCACATTCCATCTTACCTCTACCTGTTTGCTTGCTACAAGCACCTATTACATCTTTTCATTAAATTCTTAGCTTGAGAGAGGCTGGGATAGTTCCTGTATTATACCATGTACTGAAACTAGTACGAAGAGACCCGGATTGGGACATCCAGATGTTAATGTAATGGCAACACTAACACTGCTGGTTTAATTGTATAATTGATGAGCACAGTCTTTAATCTGCTGGAGTTCAGGATCAATTAAGAAGGTAACCATGGCAAGCTTAATAGGCTAGTTGCATTATCTTACTAGGTTGTCACTTTGGTTTGTCATGGTTGCTAGCCAACAAGACTATGGCTGCTACAGGGGAAGGTGGAACAAACCTAGGGTCAGATCATACGCAGAAGTCAATGACAAAACTCCCATTATCAGTGGGGCCAGGATTTTTCTCCAAATGAGCAGTACAGGATGGCTGGTCTCCTGAGTTCCTCAAAGCAATTGCCCCCAGAACTCGAGCCACTGCACCCCAAACCTGACATCTCTATGAGATCTGAAAAGTGGCTTCTTTAGCCATCACCTCCATCATATTGTTTTTCATTGGATACCTGCATAGTAAGGATCATCAGTAAAACTAACCCTATTTTTCACACCTTTTTAAACAGAATATTTTAAGCTTATTACACAAAAGGGAGACAGAATATTGGATATTACTTAATTTGTTAATCTAGACATAATATTTGTGGATGTTTCCATGCAATTAAAATTTGTTCTGTTCTTTTCTTTAATGCAACAAAGTAGGTATCCAAAGCCATGTATTGTTATGTGGATTACATTAAGAGCCATCAGCTGATGCAATTTAACAGGAGTTTCATCAGTCATTGACAAACTTGAGTATGAGATGCAACTATTCAGATAAATTATGAAATATATGGCTGGTTAAGTAAACAACCTAATCTTTCAGATGGCAACAACTCAAATCCCTATAAAATTTAATATATTTTCTTTTCCATAATTGCTTATCTTTTGCTTATTTCTGCAAACAAATGCACGTCTCTGAACCTATTTGAAACCTAGTCACGTCACCTCTCTCCAGTAATGTGGGAGGACTTGTCTGACTGGACAGAAAACCTAGTGAAAAATCCCACTGAGAACAGTTCTGAAACAACTGGCTTCTTTGTAAAAGATGCCAGAATTTTAGTGTGGAATGCAGTTTTAGTTCGTTCAGAATCCCACCCAAAATGGTGGTGACTATGGAGAATATGTTATGACATTTTCTTAAGATGTGTGTTGGATTTTTTTTAGATAATGAATCATTATGATGAAATTGTTCATTATAAAATCCTTCATTTGTTTCCAAAATACTTACCATCATAAATGTCACCATTGAAAGGGGCGTTATTCATAGTTAACCAACAGTAACAAGAAGTTCTAAGACCTTAACTGGACAGTGCTTTAAAAAAAAAAAAAAGTGTTGGATCTACATACACATAACAGAGAAAGTCCTACTGGATGACCTGAGTTATTACGGGGGAGTAAGGAAAGGAACTTCAGTCTTTTATAAAATTCTTTAACTGTCCATTTTCACAAAAAAGGAAAAGATGCAGAGATGTTCACATTAACTGTGACAGCTCTGCTCCCCACAGCTATGCCAAGGCATTTGATTACAACATCGTTTTCTTTTTGCTTGTGTAGGTGGGACTAAGCAGCATTATAGTCCTGGGGAATCATCTCTGGAAAAAGCATCCAACTATTCAATCTAGGCATGCAAGTAATTATCAGTACAAAAATTTGCATCTATTTTTAAAAGTTATCTGTCCACATAAAGACAATATTCTGTTAGTTGTAAAATCTAGCAATTAATGCATCACTTTTTTAATGGCAAGAGAAGGTTGTTAGGCATGTATCTAGTGGTGCCACAACCTAATAGAGTGCCCATTTCACTTTTGCTGTTAAAAATTTGTCAGTGTTATGGCTTTGTCTGGAAGGCAGCAGAGAAGGAAGAGCAGTACTCAAAACTCTGTTAGTGCCTAGAAAGTGCTTTCTGATATTAGGAAAAAAAAAAAAAAAAAGAATTTAGCTGGAATTTAACCCCAAATAGTTTGGCAGGGCTGAAACCCACCTAGAAATGATTCAAAACAATCAATAAGAATAACATACACCATGAAGCATGTATGCTGCATGCTTCTTATAAAGAGTATTAAGGCCTCAGTTCACACCTAGTAAAGCACTTAAACACATGTATATCTCTATGTATGTGGGGAGAACTAGCAGTAAATGGAAGTTAAACATAGGCATAAATGTTTTTCTGGACAGAGGCTAAAATCCTGATTCGGGCTGGAGAGGGGAGAAGGTAGGAATGGATCAAAAAAAGGCATGTCTTGCCATGAGAGCAATATTGCATATGATATTGCAAGCAGCATCCTGCCATATTGGGCAGGCAGCTAAGCCAGCCAAACCAAAGAATGAGCTGCAGCCAAGGAGGGGAGGCGAGCTGGAAAATTGGTGTGGCAGGCCTGAAAATCTGACAAACAGGATTCCAATGGCAGGCTGCAAGTGCACTCTGGCAGTGGTTACAGTGAATGTGCAACTCCCACCGGGGGAAGCAGCAGAAGTCCTTGTAGTACACTACATGAGGGACCCTGCCTTGGAATTATTGTGCAGTGTAGTCAGGAATGGGCCATTATTTCTGCTGCACAAGCTTTCAGCAATTAAAGCTCAAAAGTTAGCTTCAAATGACCAATCACCAGAGTAGAGATGTATTTTGCAGTTCAGTCTGCCACTGATTTAAAAGGAATATAAGTGGGTAAATAAAATGCCTTATTTTCTCCTAGGTAGCAGTGTCTCTACTAATAATCATTAACATTTAGTTTTATGCAATATTTTCTCTAGTTTCCTAGCCTAACTACTCTTTAGGTTTATTCTTATTATATATGGTATAGACCTATTATTTTGAAGATGATAAAATTAAAGTTATTACCCTTCAGAAATTGTAAACATTAAAGATTAATGTAATTTATTAAATTATTAAAGTTAAAGATGGTAAACAGTAAGTTATTAACCTTCAAAGATCCTATGTAAAATACAATGAAATACCAAAAACCAGTTAGAAGCAAGTTTTTTGGTGCTTAATTTTTATTGGACCAACCATATATAGTCTACCTCTCAACTACACAGCTGTTCCAATAAAAAGTATTACTTAAAAAAATACCCTTAATCCTGGCATATTTCCTAGACCATCACAGCAACAACACTTTAATCCTACAAAAACCTGCTGTTGTTTAGAAAGCAAGAGAAATATGGGGTAAATTTCAGAAACATGCTACTGTTTGTTAACATTACTGATTTACCGCTTGCATAAATTACTTAAAAAAAGCGTATATTTAAAAAACAAAAAAAACAAAAAACAGATTTTCAAATAGGGACTGAACATTTTACAGCAAATGTATACTTTCAAGGTATTTGAAAGAGCCACTACATTTTTCTTTTATAATGGACTTGGTTTCAAATATCCGTCACCACACTGAAAGGCATCAACAGTCACTTGACTTATTTTTTAAATGGTCTTTTCTTGTTGAATTTCCATTCCTAAGCCCTATTTTATGAGTTTGGCTAGACACAAGTAACTTTTACAATTTTCCAAATGGGAAAGTGAAATCTTACCATAGTATGGCTTCAATTTCACCCCACCTTCCCGGAAAAAGAATTTAGGATGCCAAATCCAAAGCAACTCCAACATACCCTCACCAAGTTCTTCACTTGTTTGTAATGGACAGCCTCAGTGCAAATGCTTCCAGCAACTTTAACTGAAGTATAAAATCAGTTACATATCCTTGAGCACATTAGGATGCATACCCACTGCCTTACTGGAACCTGCTTACTATACCTAACAGGTATCTTGTGTTAATTGCAGTGAAAGAGACATGCACAAGGAAGTGAGGAAGTTGTGAAACATACAAGACACATTCAGTTTCACAGCCTACATTGCAGCTTTTCAATTTGGAACTGTGCACACACAATCCTGTTCCAAGCCACTCTGTATTTGTAATCCACAAAACATGTTGCCTCAGAAGTGCAAAAAGTTTTTTTTTTCTTTGAAGTGCATCAATTTCATATTGTTCTTCACCTACTAGTTTATGTTAGATTTTATCTTAGTTATATTGGCCTTACCTTTGTTACACAATATTACCATGTTTAAGCATGGAGTCGAAAAATTTAGTTCCTTGATGCGATACTGACCACATTCCTGGTCAGTATATACCAGAATAAGTCCTATTTAGCGGTATGCCAATGAATGCATGATTGTGATAATATCAAGTTGGTCCTCAGAGATGAGGCTTTCATTCCAGCTTTGGCATCTATCTTACCTAGCAGGGACCACAAAATACCACTTCTTTGTATTTTTTTTCAGTAACTCTCTACTCTTCCCGTGTTAAAGGTCTCTTTACAGACGTGTATCCTGTAACTCTACATTGAAGAAAAGTTGCGACAATTGAGAGGATAAATAGGACAGGAGCTGATGAATTGCACCTTTTTAGAGTGAACCCTGACTCTCCAAAAACACATACACCAGCATACTTCTAACATTCCGTATATAGCACACAAATGATTCGTATGCTTGGCATGCACATAAGCAAACAAGTCCATACATTAGTAGGATTCAGTGCACAGAGTGTAGGCGTTTGTACACGACTGTGCCAAAGTTTTTGCATAATGTCCATGCCAACAGCACATCTAAATTCTGTAGAGTTAAAGAGAACGTATAAACAATTTACTTCAGAAGGAAA